TCGGCAAATAGATTTCTGAATGGTATAGTCTTTGGCATAGCGGCCCTACTCGGCAAATAATCCCCCGATTTGACTACTCCTTGTTTCATCGTCAGCGGCGGAGCATGGCACGGGCAGCCCAGAGGCCACGTTATTACTGAGGCAGCATCGGCAACGTATATTAGACCTATCGGAGGAGGAGGTAGAGAGGGGGGTATGGAAGTCATACCCGAGGATACATGGCTGGTGGTAGGCTCCATCATGGAAGAGGATATTGGTCTGGCTATGCTTACTGCCGAGTGATACTCCTGCATTGAATGTGCTCAAGAAGAGTATGGAAGAGGCTTTAGGGAAGGATAGGGGTGTGCCTCCTGGAATACAGAGGGTCCGAGAGGCGATGACTTTGTTGGGGTAATGGGAGGAGCTGCTGCTGGTTCTCTTACAGCAGCTTGATGAGCTGTGTGGTGGTCTCTGGAAGGCCTTGAACTCGGCTCGTGTGCACTAGGTATTCCTCCGAATCGGTGACCTGTGATTATATAGTCGACGGCGTGGTAAAAGCAGATATTGCTCTACCACAATACATGGTGAGTTCATCAAACCTGTTCTTCTTGGACTTGGTCTAGCTACTGCATTTTCACGCGCCAGAAAAATCATTTTCACTCGGGATATAGTGCTTGCCCGTCAGACCGCTATCGTCGTCGAACCCGAGGCACTATTCAATGTTCACTCTAAGCGTTATCAGAAGACGGGATGGACTGTCCTTAGAGCCAAGGCGTTACAACAGAAGGGATGGCAGGTACGTCTCGTGTTCGACTCCCAGATGGGACATATTTCTTCTCAGGTGATGGGACCAGTGGTACCCGAATCATTCCGTGCCGAAGATGCTTCAGTGGACTCTAAACAGCCAGGCAGTCTGGTGCAGTTCCTCAACGAACAGCTTAACGATGTGATGACGCTCTCTCACTTGACTTCGTATTTCTGCACTTCGCTATTCAATGAATCCTTTTTTAGTGCATTTGAGCGAGCTAGAAGCAACTTCTCCTATTGAGTGTACCACGTTTCACTGTTGACACCCGTGCTGTAGGTACCATACGATGCAGTAGTGACCATTGATGGAGAGCAGGATCGAGAGGAATTGTCCAAGTCGGTGGGCAATATGAACCTTGGTGCTGGGATTGGCACCAAGCTTATGCCTGGCGGTCAAAGAATGAAGAGTTTAGTAATCCGGACGGGATTTTCTTATGGGTGGCGATATTTGGTGAAACAGATCGTAACGAATTGTAAAATGCCTCTGGTGGCTAAGATCCTCCTTACCACCTTACGGTTGGGGACGACAGTGGATACCATAACTCTGCGGAATCTCGGCCTCACTGACAATATGACTGATGTACTCTCTGAGTTCATAATGACGTGAGTGGGAATCGATGTTATGCGGCTCTGTTCCCGTACTCGTGGCATTGTAATCCTCATTGGGTAGGTCGACTCGGGAGACTCTACAACGTACAATGTAGTGTTTAGTTGTTGACGTTTTTAGATATGTGCTTCGGCATCCTACACTATCACTTGACTTGTCGGATA